GGCACAAAATACTGCTCTCCTCCAGCACACTGATCAAACACTGCATATCACACGGGCAGAATGTGACCTGTGTGAGGCCACACAGCAAGGCTCCATCTTTAGCACATTTGTTTACGCCTCCATTTTGACACACAGTAGTTAACATTTGATTTATTAAACAATGCCCTACTGCATTTATGATCAATATACCTTATACAAAGTCACGAAAGGACCTCAAGCTACGTCAAGACAGGACGCCACAACCCGTTTCATTTCCCAAACTGGGAGGCCAGTGACGCAGAAAGGACAAGCAGCTTGCCTTTCAAGGGACAACTGGTCAGAGCCAATACCGGGAAGAAAAAGCCAATCTCCAAACTCCTGACCAATGTCTGTACTCAGTAGACAGTGTGACCTTCAGACGTTTCCAAAAAGTAACCATCTGTGGTAAGGAAATTAGGGAAATGAAAGGACATTTCTGCATCAAAGGTTTCCTTTCAGCACTGATTAAACCAGAAAATGTGTCACTGCTTTGACATAAAGCACTGGCAAAAGGCCCCACCTTGCAACCTGTGTATTTGCATATGCAGGTCAGGAAGGGAAAATCCTCCCTTCTCTGTGTGCTGGACCTTCTTGAAAGGTTAATGATTATGTTTAGCTAGAAGTAAAGTTAACCTTTATGAAAGGTTTCTCTGAGCAAACCTTTGACTCGAGTGCCTTCACAGAACACCCCACACAATGACTGTCATTGCAGGAGCAGATGCAAGTAAACAGCAATGACTTCAGGGCTTTGAGCACATTTTCATGGAGAGAAATGATCTATTTTGGGAAACAAGCAAAAAGCTTAAAAATCATAGGTGGAAAAAAACTGATTAGACAGCGACATAACTAAAAATTACACATGTTGTGGATGCTTAAGTGAATGACTGAAGTGTTAAGCAGTAAAAAGGAAAGGTTTTCCTTTCATGGTTAAATGAGAAGGCAGCACCACAAGCAAAGAACACACTTTTCCCACTTACAACACAAAATTAGAAAGATTCGCTGCCAGATGATGTCAGGGAGGTCAGACACAGACTGACTCCAAAGAGGATTAAACAAATCAATGGAGGACAGATCCATTAGTGATTACAAGGCAGGATGGCCCCAAATCCAGCTTTGGCTAAGACCAGTCCTTAGCTGCTGACTGTCAAAAGAAAAGGGGACCCTTCCACACCCATCTTTTCCCTTGTGATTTTGCCCCCACCATCTGCTGCAAGCCCAGATGAGCCCGAGGACACTGAACTGGACACACCAGTATAGTGTGACACACTGAGCCTGTAGTTTCTTTCTCTAGACACACAAATCTGTAGTTTCTTTCCCTAAGATGCCTCCCAGGCTTAGCACACATCCTCACCCTGCAGTGCCTCCCCTTCCAGGACAGTGGACTGTTCCCATGTCACAGCCACCACAACAAAGGCCACGACAGAAAAATTATATAGGGTGTGAGTTTGTGCTGAGATCACAACAGGTGAAGGAGGTGACTCCAGGAGACTCCTGGGTGGCCTGAGCTTTTTGCTTTTGCTGCTGGGAGATCTCCAGAGCTGCCTGGGAGGACTGTCACACTCCCACAGCCCCAGCAGCTTTCCTTCAGCAAAAGCAAAAGCTCGGTGTCTGAGAACCTGCCTGTACCAACACAATCGCTGCAAGGGATAAAAGATGGCCATCTCTGTTTCCACTGTGCAAATAAGCCTTCTTAGAAACACCAGAAATCCCGGGATAAGTGATAGGAAACAGAACCATCAGGAACTCCGCGAGCCTGGAGCGCCCTCTAGGGGTAAGAGACGGGAGGGCCACGCACCCCAAACTACTCCGAGAAGTCCCGGACCGAACCAAACCTTCCCTTAAGGAAGTCATGGTGAGGCCTTCACTTGCCTGGACAAGAATGGGATTATGTAGCCATGGTTGGCTGGACTCTCCTCTCTGTCCTCATCTTACGAGCCCTTGCTTTGGGAGAAGCTCTTTCTCCTCCATTAATACAGTGACCAAGGAGTGTCGAGACAGGGATGCATTGACATTACAAGAATAATTGCATAAAAAACATAATATGAAACTGAGCACACCCCCAAACGTTGGTCCAAACATCCCCCGTGCAGAAGCCTGGGGAGGATGCAGAGCTCCACAGGCCTCACAAACCCACTCAGCCCTTGCAGCAGCGAGTCCAAAGCTTTGCTCACAGCAGGCCAGAGCTGTAACAGGACCTGCTAGTTCCCAAATTTTGTTCCCAGTTTCCCACAGAGCAGAAGAACAAAGACATATGTGCTGAAAAATATTCCCAGAGGGAGCGAAGGGGAGAGGGCTCAGCTACCGGAGAGGACTAAACAGTCTGCACAGGGGCAATTCCACAGGGCAATATTGAGCAGGCAAGGGAGCTTCTCTCTCTGCATGTGTCCCTGTCCCCAGGCCCAAAACAATGCTCGTGGTTTGTGTCCTGCTGCGTTAAAACTTCATGCCATTACCACGGCGCTGGGAGCAAGAGTCACAACCCTCCTGTTGTAGCCAGAGAACAAATCGTGTCAGAAACACAGCTCCCCTTCTTCTCAGACTTGAATCAACATACAGGAGCACTTGATGAAGCTACATAAATACTACTAGGGAACCAGTTTCGCAGCTGCTTGTGTATCTGCACCAAAATGTCAGTTTAGGGAGTCACATTTGCTCAGCCAAGGACAAGGCACGGGGCTTGTGTGTTCAGTCACAGATGAGCAACTTGAACGTGGGATAACAATGTTGATAACGAACTGCTTCCTAAAGAACAAGGATTGTTGACAGATACTATTGGGTGAAAAGTTTCAGCACTGCTGGATTTGAGAACACTGCAGACAAATCCTAAACACAAAGAAAGCAACAGATGCAATGAACTTCAACATTTCTGAAGTGAGGTACTTCCACTGCAGTCCTAAAGTCCAGTAAAGGCTGAAAAAAATCACTCTGATGAAACAAAATGGAGGCAAATCTCAACCCAAACACACCACACAAAGCTCCCAGTCTGAGATGACCAACCTTTCCTTCCAGCAGAAGGAAAGGATCTGGACACCAACGTGCTTTGTGCAACAGGTTAAGTGCAGGACACGGTTCCTGGTAGCAGCAAGTCTGAAGCCATGCCCTGCCAGGTGCTGCCAAACAGCTGGATCTTGTCCCCAAGTCAAAGTAACCTCCCCAGGACATCACAAGGAAACTCTGAGTTGTCCTCAGAGCTCCGTTCCTGAGCTATTCATCATAAACTTCTGGTCTTCCATAATAAATGTGCTATAAACGTTCCTTCAGGGTAAGTAAAGTGACACATCAAATCAAGTTTTCCCAGGGAAGAGGTTTGGGTTAAGCTGTTGATGCTGCATCTTTGCACCAGGGTATGTTAAGTGGTTTCAAACACAGCGTGTTGCACAGCACTGCACTCCAGCTCGGGCAAGAGGAGGTGATTTTAGCAAACCCAGGCATGTGGGCACAACCAACCACGTTCTCAGCTGTCAACAGCCACTCCACACACTAGGCCTTTGTTTGGGGCCTGGCACTGCATGGGGAGCACCAGAGCACAGCCCCAGAGAAGCCTTGCCAGCAGATACTTCGCCTTGCAGAATAGGAGTTCTCTCTGGTTTTAATGATCCAAGAAGTCATGGGGAGTTAGAGGTTGGAAACACTCTCTTCAATCAACCAGAGCAGAAATGCTGTTGACAATAACAAAGCCAACCATCGCTGGCTCCAACTGGCAAAACTATTCCAGAGCTCCAGAGAGCTCTGTCTCCAAACTTAAACACCACAGTGATCAACCCAGACAGAGCAGAGAGCTCCCAAGTTCTCTGGACAGAAGTGCCTTCAATATGACTTAGGGCCCAGCAGGCCCTCCATGAGATGCTGCTGATGCCCCACACCAAATCAAAGCTCTGGTCCCGAAAATTCTTCTACAGGTTGAGATGAGAGGATGTCTAAGCGGTAGTTGTGCTGATTGCCACCAAATGGTCTGGAACCCTCTCATGGATTTTAGTAGCAATCTCTTCCTCAAAGGGCACAACAGAAGCACAGGCTGTCTTTGCCTGGAACTTTTGTTTGTTTTTGAACACTACAACAGTCACCAAAGCAGCAGGCAAACAACTGAAGAAATGACTACTAGACTGAAACTAAGTTTCTGGGACTCATAAAATGGACAAGCTATGTCATCTCCAAAAGTTAACCCAAGCTCCAGAAGAAAACAAACCAATCCAAAACACAGGAAAAAAAAAACCCTCACAAATCTTAAACCCTCCTGAGGGCTAGTAAAGAGCTTCCTTGTGAAGATGGTCCATGTGCTGAGAGCTATGCTACTGTCAGGGAAAGTGTCACCATGTAGTTCTCGAGTTTTTCTGCAACAGCAGGAACACTGGGGAAAATGGAGTTTCACTTGGTCATGGATGGCTGTCCTTTACATTCTTATGACTGACAGTCATGTTTCATTCCAGCCCAGGTCAGAACTTATCTTTCATTTTCCTGTGCTTGTCCACCATGGAATCATCAGACAGGTGGTAGGTGCCATTTCCTACCAGCCTGCACTGTCTCAGTCTGCCCATGGACAAACAAGCTCTCTGGAATCCATTACTATTTTCCAGTAGCAGCTTCCTACTACTGCAGGGGTTTGCAGGCAGACTCTGGACAATGTTTCTGTTCTTATCCTTGTATAAATGTACTAAGCCACTGGGATATCAGTATAGATTTTGAACTTCCATAGCAGAACTAAAGAAAGCCAAGCCAAGTCCTTCCATCAATGGTGATGGATCTCAGTGTAATTAAGTGAAACATCAGCTTGCAACATCTCTCGCTCTGAACCAGGAGGCAAAGGTCACCAGCATCAGTTCCAGGTCACAAGATCAGAATCCCTTCCTTGTTCTAAACAAAGTGGAATGACCTGACCTCATCACTACAACCTCAGGACACACAGCGCACCTCCACAGCAATGCTCCCATTGTGCTGTGTCCATAACTCACACATCCGACCTGCCCCCAGCCCCACATCCATACCTCTGTTTCAGGCCGTGGAATGAACACTGGGGGTCTCATCTTCAGGGTCAGGTCCTGGAAGTCCCACTCACCAAGCACATACTGCACTGGCATCCTGTGGCAGGCAAGAGCAAGTGTGAATGCCTTGGGACCACGCTCCGTGAGCCAGAGGAGATCTCATGCCGTACCACGCTTACCTCACTGCCCACCACACCCCCCTTCTGAGGGGGAGCAGCTCCACACCCCCAGGCCCAGCTGTGTGAGCAGCTGGGGGAGCTGCATTCCCACAGCTGAGCTCGTTATCAGACACTGGGCCCAGGGAACTACAGGTCAGTCAGTCTTACACAGATACTGGGGAAAGCGATGGAACAAAGCAGTCCCAGAGACTGCTTCCAAACACAGCAAGCACAGGAAGGGGACTGGGAGCAGTCAGCATGGATTTATTTAGTCAGGGGAGATCATTCCTGTCTGACCTGGTAGCCACCCAGGACACAATGACCAGCTTGGTCACGAGGAGAGCAGTCAGCAAATACTGTGTATCTTGACTTTCCCAAGAGCTTTGATTCTTGTATCCCATAACTCCCTCACACACCAGCTGATGAAGTACATACCAGATAAAGGAGGTGGACTGAAAACAGACTGAACTGTGAGGCCCAGAGGGCTGAGTTCAGCAGAGCAAGGCTCAGCTGAAGGCTGATCACTAGTGGAGTACCCCGGGGTCAGCAGGGGGGACAATACTGCAGAACACCTTCATTAGTGACCTGCATGCAGGGACAGAGAGCACCCTGGGCATGTCTGCAGGTGACAGAAAACTGGGAGGAGTGGTTAACAGACCAGGTGGGTGTGCTACTTTCCAGAGAGACCTCTGGAGAAATGGGCTGACAGGAACCTCAAGAAATGCAGCAGAGTAATATGAAGCCCTACAAACTGGGAAGGAATAACCCCATGCACCAGTACAGGCTGGGGGCTGACCAGCTGGGCAGCAGCCGTGCAGGAAGGGCCCTGGGGATCAGGTGGACAAGTTTTGCCCACCACTTTAATCACCACCAGAGACCAACACAGCACTGGTACTTGACATCTGAGCTGCTGCTGTCTGCTACGACTCTTCTGGCTGATTTAAGGCTGAAGGAAAACTCTCTAAAGGAACAACTCTAAGAGGATGCTCTTACCTCTGTAGTCGCTTGTTGCTCAGCTGCTGGATTTGCTCCTGCTGCACTGCTGTAAGCGGAGTGTGGAGGCTTTTGGAATTCAGGCTCTGAAACTGAAGACAAAGTCACTTTAAAACCTGCCCACTTGTGCCACTGGGGTGTCCTCTGCCACCCTGCCAAGGGCATCCTCCAGGGAGATCCAGGGCACTGACAGTCACACTGCTGGAAAGCCCAGGTGATGAACAGAACCTATCAGCATGTTCAGAAACAAACCCATACCACTGTTCTGCTACTTCTTGGGGCTCACAAGAATAAGTAAAATTAACAATCACTTCATCAGGCAAATCAGGGTAAGTGTGTATGTCACAGGTTACACTTCAGTGCCTGCAAAGGACAGCATTTAAGAGGCCCCAAGTGTTGTAGTGGCATTAATAAACTATGGCTCACCCTCTCTGCCATTTAAGGAAAGATAAGTTGTTCTATTCCCTACAAGTGAGATAAAAAGGAAGGTAAGGGATTCAATCAAAATGACAAAGTGAGAGGCAAACACAGACCTTATTCTTTTCCTATTACTTAACTGTTTTTGCTCCCAGGACAAATGACACAATGTATTGGCTGGATTCTCGTGCTTCAGGGATCCCATTTGTCTCAAACACCTTCTGCCAGTAGTTGACCATATCAGTGGCAGTCAGGAGCCCAGGTCCAGCACTGCAGCTCTGCCTCAGAGACAGCTGGTTTGGACTGAGGACACCACCTTCACTTGGACTCAATCGCCCTGGCACGTGCTGAGGTGAGAGGCTCAACAACCTCCTGAGCAGTGGATGGCTGAGGCATCTCATCATTGTGCAGTTTCTGGTTTCCACACGTGTTCCTTGTTGCCATCTGCTGATCCAGTCAGTGCTGAGGCTCACAGGACACCTGTGGCTGAGCACCAGCTGACCACAGAGTGGGTTCTCCTCGGGGCAGTGTGAAAATGGCACTGTTCTGCAGCTCTTCTGGTCTAGAAAACAAGGCAAGAGAACTGCCTGAATCCACCCAATCACAGGTTCCCCTCTGACAGAACACAGACTGCTTGCCCTAACCCCTGTCCACAGGTATAAAACCACCTACTCACACCCTAAGATTACACCAAAAAAAGACTCAGGTGACAGCCAAGCAGCTGTGTCGCTGCAATCCACTTCTCCACAGGTCAGAGGCCAGTCCGTGCCTATGGCAGGGCAGAACGAGCTGCCTACAGAGCCACAGCCCTCCTGCCTATTCTTGCTCCCAGAAAGCCACTGACACACCAACCCTCAGCTGCAGCCCTTGGCTCTCCACCCCACAGATCACCCTGGCTCCCTGCAGGAACACCTTCAGTCTCTCCCGGATTCTTTCTTTTATTCCTCTCTCTGCTCAGAAACCCCAAGTCCTCGGTTAGCAGGGACGCTCACAGGAGACCTGGACTCAGTGGGTCAAGAGTCTTCCACACTGTCACCATCCCCAAAGGGCAAACAAGGGGTCACAGGGCCAGAGCTGAGCTGCTAAGGGCAGAGAAAGGAAAAAACCTCACAACGTAACAGAGGGAAGAGAAACACTTGGAAGATGCAAAGGCCAGAAAGGGCAAACCCTGCCAGAGGGAAGTCGGTCTCTTAAAGGAGAGAAGAGGCAGAGTCAGACAGAGAGAGAATAAAACCAAACAAGATGACTGCAGGAGACAAAGGAAATGAAACTTTACAAAACAGCTGCTGCACATCACACTTGGAGCAGTGGGAAACAAACAGAACAACCACCACATTTTCCTGCTGTGATCCATTTGAAATGAGGGCCCCCCTCCCTTCTGACTCACAGCCCCTGGAGCAACTGTGGGTTTCCCTGAGAGTCCATTTTTATTCCTCTGTTAATGGCTGCTTTTCAACACTGTCTCAGAGAGGCCACAACCTCGTCTACTCCAGTTCAGAAATGCACTACACAGCTAAATCCCTCTCCTGAGCAGCTGGCAGCACCCAGAGCAGCTCCCTGCCCCACAGCAGTGCTGCTGCAGGGACAGCTGGGGATGCCAGTTCTGTTCCAGCCTGGCACACGCTGGCACCACAGCCCTGCTCCTGCTGCACAGCAAAGGCATGGGACAGCTAGGCCTCCACTGCCCTCCTCCGTAAAATCAGAGCCCAGAAGGAAAACCCTGAAGCAAAGACCTCCAGACTGGCTTACATGCTACCTCCTGGCAGAGGGATTGGTGCTGTAAGAGCTCAAGAATCCCCTTCCTACCCTCTCCATTACTCTCAGCAGAGAGACAAACAGTCCCTATGAAAATCTGCCTTTATGTTATGCATAAGCAGTCCCTCAGATACAGCGTCCACCCAGGCAGCTTCCCACTCCAAGGTCCCGTTTAGGGGATACTGCCACAAGGGGAGCACTAAAGGAATAAAACATTAACAACCATTAGTGTTGTTAGGGAGGCAGAGCAGACCTTAACTGACCGTACCTGGAACAAAGCTGGCATTACTAGCATTATTAATCACAGATTCACAGAAATGTTAGGGTTGGAAGGGAGCTCTGGAGAATATCGAGTCCAACCCCACTGTCAAGGCAGGATCACCTGCTGCAGGTGACCCAGGAAGGCATCCAGGAGGGTTTGGAATGTCTCCAGAGAGGGAGTCCCCACTACCTCCCCGTGCAGCCCATTCCAACATCCAGTCCCTCTCTCTGTGAAGAACTTCTTCCTAATGACCAACCTAAACCTCCCCTGGCGCATTTTAAGACCGTCCCATCTTAACCTATTGCTGGTTAGCTGGGAGAAGAGCCCGACCCCCACCTGGCTACACCCTCCTGTCAGGGATTTGTAGAGAGCGATGGGGTCATCCTTGAGCCTCCTCTTCTCCAGACGGAACGCCCCCCGCTCCCTCAGCCGCTGCTCACAGCACTTGTACCCCACAGAGCCGCCCGGGACCGGCACGCGGCTGCTCCTCCCGGCCCTCCCTGCACACGCAACGCCCCAGCCCAGGTCGGGTGAGGGTCCCGCGGCCTGAGGAGCGGCGGCGGCTGCTCTGAGGCGAGCGCGCGCACAGCGCCGCCTCACCTCGCGGCCACCGTCACCGCCGGGGCCGGGGGCGCAGCCGGCTCCCTCCGAGGACTCGGCCGGGCCGCGGGCGGGGCGGGGGGTAGTCGGCAGCCGCTCCCCGTGCCGGGGCAGGGCAGCGGGTAGCCAGGACCCCAACCAAGTGCCGGGGCAGGGCCGTGCGGGATCCGCTGCGGGGCCCCGGCGCTCCCGCGAGCGCCCCGCCCGCCGCGCGCCTGAGTGACAGCCGGGCCGGCCAACCGCGAGCCGAGCCCCGGGGCTGCCGGCCAATGGGCTGAGGCGGTGCGCGGCGGGGCGGGGCCAGCGGCGGCGCGCGCGAGGCCGAGCCCGGCCCGGCCCCCGCGGCCCCGGGCGCGCCCCCGCGGCCGCTCCGCCCGCGCGCCGCGGGCACCGGACGGCTCGGCGGGGAGCGCGCAGTAAGTGCCGGCCCGGCGGGCGCTGCCGCCCCGGCGCGGGGGCTCCTCCGTGGGCTGGGAGGGGCGGGCTGGGCTGGGCCGGGCCGCGGGGCTGTCCGGCCGCGCCGTCCCGTCCCGTGGGCGCAGCGGGACCGCCGCGGCCTCTCGGCCCCGCCTGAGCCCCGGCGGAGCGGCGGCACCGCGCGGGCAGCGGGAAGGGCCGTGGGACCCGTTATCCGCCTGGGAACTCCTTCTCGAGATGGGGAAGGAGCGGTTGCCCGCAGGGATGGAGCAGCCGCGGTGGCACTGCCCGCACAGGGACAGGGACAGGGACAGGACGGGCGCTGCTGCTCCTGTGTCAGTGCGGGCTCAGAGCGCTGACATTGCTGGGGGGGTCCCCGCTCCGGGGCCCGGGTGGGATGGGAGCGCGGCCCCTGTCCTATACCCGGGGGGCGGCAGCGGAGGAGCCCCGGGACAGCGGGAACACGGGTCGGGGCTCCCCCCTGCCCTGCACCTGGTCAGCCCTGGGGCAGAGGGAGGGGAAGCCAAAAGTTCACGCACGGGGAAGCCACGTCCAACAGCAACCCAACGCCGCTTGCATTGCAGAATTACTAGAGCCACTTCATCGGGTGAAGTAATGCAGAAAAAATGCTAGTTACTCTTTGCGTTCTTCACCCAGCGACACCGTGACCCATCTTCATCCCTGTGACATAAACCTCTATTCCTGTCACACCCGAAATGGCAGGGCAGCACAGAGAGACTAAAACCAAGACTCAGAAAAGCCTCGAACTAGTGCCCAAAACAATGTTCTGCATCTCAGGCATGTTGGTCACCACAGCACCTACCAGAGATCAGTTTGGCAATACTGGCTTAGGAGAGAAACAAATGTCTTCTCCTTATTCCCAGATCCAGCAGAGAGCTCAGCACAGAGCAGTCCTGGCTACGTGAGGAGCTCTGTTGGTGCAGGCAATGGATCACTGCCAGCCCACAGCAGCTGAGGATCTGGTTGCTCTTCTATTTGTGCATGGACTGTGCTGAATCCTGTCAGTGATAGGTAGTATCTGTCCCTGGCCCTAAAGCCCTCAGAGACTTGGAGTGTGCCCAGCCTACAAATCAAACTTCCAGCACTCCAGTGACAACAGGGAAAGGAAGGTGGTGGGAAAGATCCACCACCCCCAGCTCTGCTGTGTGAGCCGTGGGCTCAGGGCCATCCTTGCACTCAGCCTCCCTCTCTGGCCCTCCGAAACCTGGACCACAAGGGGGCTTGGGAAGAGAAATACTCCATCTGGACCTGGAACTTGTTGTCTAAGCCAGGTCAGAAAACTTCCACACAGAACTGCTTCTAGAGCTTGGTCTGTGGGCTTGGGAATCCTTCAGCATTGAACAGGACCCTGAGAGCGTGAACGAGACCCCTGTTCTCACTAGAGCAGATTTCAGCTGGCCCATTTTAACCAACCCTAACTTTTTTGGTTTTCCAAAGCCAGCACCTCATTGAGCTGAAGGCCTAACTCACTTTGTTCCTAAAGTTCAGGAGCTGTTCATGATCTAGAGCCATGCTCTGCAAAGCCCTTGGGCCTGCTCCACTCCTTTCACTTTTTCCATTTTTTATTTCCTTGGTAGCGGCTTTTTTAAAAATAGGTATTATCATCACGGAGACTTTCCCTGAATAGCACAAATTGATGGACTCTGAGCAGCTGATGGATCTGCTCAATAATTCCTTTCCTTTCCCTGCTGGGCTGTAGGTGCTGCTGCTGCTGTTGTGATACTGATTTCAAACTTGCCCCCTTTGTGCCAGTGCTGAGCTGTAGACACCCTTTGTGCCCACAGCTGAGCTCTGCTGTGCTCAGTGCTGGCTGGGGGTGTCCAGGTGGTTTAAAGCAGGTGTTCATGGTCTGGTCTGTTCTGCAATGAACTTGTGACTCAGCACGATCTTAGGAGGGACCAGACCAGAACTGCTTTGCTCCCATTTCTCTAGAAACTCCTGTGAGTTTGACTCAGTCAAACTCCCACAGTCTCCCAGGCACTTCAAAATCCCCCTTTGCTTCACAAAGTTGTTCTCAGGGACCTGTAGACAAACCCTGCACGTGTGGCGAGACATTTACCTGCTCAGGGAGATGCAGGACGAGTCAAGGTGGCTGCTCCAGCTGCTGACTGTCCACAGGGCAGCCTGGGGCTGCTTCCCTGGTGTGATTTCTCTACTGCAGTAGTTGGTGACAGATGTTAATCACGCTGGGAAATGCAGTTGTGGGCAGCAGTGAGGCATCACAGTACAGGAACTGCACAGTAACCTTGCCTGGAATAGAACAGAGTGCAGCAGAACAAAGGCTCATTTCTCTTTGCAGGCACAGCTTTTTCTGTTCAGAGCTCATTAACCCCTCTGTCCCAGCTGCATTCCAGCCCAGACATGTAATGTCTGCTAAACTGCAGAGAAGTTACCAGAGAGCTCCTACAGTGCTTCCTGGGATCAGCTCTGCTCCAGAGGTAGCTGCTTTTTCATGGAAGCACTTCCATGAAGCATAATGTTATATACGGTGGTTTTATAAACAAAGTGTGCAAATACTTCCCACAGGCTCATCCCACAGCATTTTGTAACTCCTGATCATTTGCACAATCGAGGCATGAAGCAATTAGAGCCTTTCATGTTCTCAGCATGAATAGATCTATCAAATTTCACAACTCCAAAACTGGACTAGCTTTAAAATTAATATTGATAATTGCCAGTGCATGACTAAGCTTGAGTGGGTTCTCTCCTGGGAGATTTGAGAAATACTCAGTGTCTTTAGTAGCACATGGGAGAATGGTGCAACCCACCCTTTCCAGAGCACATGGGATGGCACCAGTGACTAGCACAACAAGGAACTCCTACTTTGGATTCAATAAAAAGCATCCTGAGATATGGATGCCTCACAGCTGAGTGTCATTTCATTGGATATATTCCCACTGATAAGGGGATGTGTGTAACTTTACACACTTTTCCAAGAGAAGAAGCAGGAAAATGCTGTATTTCTGGGGGGGATAGAGACCTCCTGGTTCAGCCTGGGGCAGACCAAAGACAGGGGTTCTGAGGTTGTCCCCACAGGGATCTGCCAAGTGCCTGCAAGGAGGCAGAGCTGAAGCAGGGAGGGGAGAGTTATTGCTGACTTCAGGTGAATCAGGCGTGGCTTTGAGGGCTCTCAGTACCCCTGAAAAATCTTTTCCTTATTTTGAGTGGACATTCAGAAACTGTCCTGGTGAATTGGGAACTGTGGAGAAGGCTGTACCCATCTCCAGGAGCTCTGCACTGTTGATCTGTTCTCCTTCTCTCCTAGGCACAATCCGGTGTGGTTCCTGTGAAGGAAACCCATCAGTGGTGATGCCCCAGGACGGGGCTCACGTGAGGGTCCTGCATACGAAGGGCAGCTCTGCACTTGTGTAGCTGATGGGTGAGGACACCAGCCCGGTGAGAGGAGCTACCAGGAGCAGGCAGGATGAGTTACAGCTCCCCCTCTGTGCACGACCCGTATCACAGCACCCCCACCACGGCCAGGCCAGACCCAGGGACAGCTCTGGATGTGACTGTACCAGAAACAGCCACCATAAGCCCTGAGACTTCCACCTTCAACAGCACCAAAATCCCAGATGTGGCCGGCACTGGAGCCAGCATGAGCACGATGCTGCTGTCCTTTGGGATCATTACTGTGATTGGGTTGGCTGTAGCTATGGTAAGAGAGCCAGCTAAATAATCCTCTGTTTCTTGAGGGTAGAGGGTGGCAAGGGGTTCTAGGACTGATTTGGGTTGAATAATTTATTTGTATTCTATAAAAGACTCACCCAGAACTGCTGAGAATTGATAGTTCCTGAGATCCCTTTCTTTTTAAAGCCTTTTTCCAGTGCTCCAGTATTTCTGAAGGTCTCCCTGAGGTCTCCAAACAGGATGCTCAGCAGGCCTAGAAGAAACCTTATGCAGTATTTGTTTTTCATAGCAATAGGAAGTTCCATTAAAAGAACACAAAGCAGATTCTGTTCTGACTTGTTACCTGGAACAGCTGCATTGATTTAAACCTTGTCAACACTGGGGACCTGCAAGAAAGTTCATCCAAATTAACTTTTACAGCAGACTGTTGAAACTGTGTAGATCTCCCCTGTGGACATGGGGTAATTGTTTTTGAATTCCAGTGGCCCGAATCCGTCCTAGCGAGACTCACTCTGGACTGCACGTCCCAGGCTGTGCTGGCTGGGTATCCGTCCTTGAGGGTTATTGTGTCGCTAACCTTGCCATTAATGCTGTGGGCAGCAGCTTCCAGAAACCACAGTTCTGGGCCCAACACAGGCAGTGCAAATGCTGTAGTTGTTCTTCTGATATGTAACCAGCTCGTTTCCCTGCCAGCAGAGAACAGGAGGTAGCAGCAAACTCCCATTCCTCGTACGAGGAAGGGCTTCACTAACACAACCAGCAGAGGAGCCCACTGCAAAATTTCATTGCAGGCCCCGGGAGGAGTTTTTCCAAAAGCCCCTAAGAAAACCTGGAAACGGTGATAAGCCCCCAAGAGCAGCACCCAGCATCCGTAGTGCTCAGCACAAGGCTGTGGAGGCCCAAAGCCTCCCTTCCTTCCCAGCGCAGCCGCTCGTTCCGGCTGACCGAGGCAAGTCCCTGAGCATGCCCTCTTTGCTTCTTCCCTTTCTCCTGGGGAGGGGGTAGCAGCACTTTTACAGATGAAAACCACCACAAAGGGAAGCTTTTCATCCACCCTTGAACTGCAGCGTACGTCCTGCAGCCACAGCAATGTGCTGAGCTACACCTAATAATACACCTAATACTCTTACTCCTACTAACACACCCAGTAACAGGCCACTCGAGCACTCAGTGCCAGACACGATGTGCTGCCAAGCTCACACTGATGCACATGGAATTTCATTTTCAGTTGTCACTTCTCCCTTCCCCCTGCTTTGGTGCACAGTGAGACCAACCTTCTACACCTCCCTTCTGTGTGCTCTGTGCCCAGAGTGTCTCTTCTCAGCTGCTCCCCGTCCTGCCAGGACTGTTGTTAATGGTGGTTCTCTTTCTCCTTCAGGTTCTGTATATCAGGAAGAGGAAGAGGTAAGTAATGCCTGTTGCTGGCAGAAGGAAACTCAGTGCTTCAAAATCCAGAGCGAGCTGGGAAGGACAGAGGGAGATGTGGAGGGCATAAGCGAGGGCTGTCTGAGAACAAGGCTGCAGGAATCAGCTGGGTGGGGCAGGCAGGGACACCGCACTCCTGCCACTGGCCCATCCTCTGACACCAAAGCTTCAAAGACTCCTCCACAGCTTTGGAAAGAAAATAAGGTTGAGCAGGAGGAGGTTGAGGATCCTGCAGGCTCTTCATCTCTGAGATGCACCAAAACAGAGGAAAGATTTATGGGTATATAAAGGAGCTGGGAACTCTGTCATGAAAGGTGTGAATCTCAGGTTTCTGCCGTTCCCAGATCCCTGTTTTCCAACAGCCCAGCCAGTGACAGCAGCTGGCAGCAGCACAGTGCAGAGATGCAGCTCTCTAGCCCAAGACTTAGTATCCTGATTTCCTTGCTAAGCTTCTAGCTGAAAATAGAGAGGAGAGCAGCATGCAGGGAGACACATGACTTGTTTCTTCTGTCTCTGACAGCAGGACTAGTGAAGATCCATTAGCTGTGGCACCTCCTCCCTACCTGATCCCTTGGGGCAGGCCTAGCCTGGCCCCAGACTCTCAAGAGGAGCTGCTGCCCACTGTAAAATTTCCAAGCCTACCCTGCAGCCCAGGCCTGGATATTGCCACAGGAGCAGCTGATGCTTGGCCTGTGAAAGCAGCACTGCTGGAGATAATGGTTGTGCTGGCAAAGCCATCTAGAAGCAGGGAAAGAATGTGTCATCCTCACACTTGCCAAAATAGATATTTGCGGTGACACTGCCAGTAACTGCTTGTGTGTTTCCTTCTCCCACCCCCTAAATCTCGGCTACAGCCCAAGGCGGGGCTCAGTGCTTTCCCAGGACCATGCCTACCCATCCATCATCCATCTCTGAGCTGCCCAGTACTTAGGGAGACTCCTTGGGCTAACACTTCATAGCTCTGTCTCTTGGAGCAATGATAACAAGAGCAGGAACAGCCTGTCCGCAGGCATCAGCCTCCTGTGAGAATCTCTCTCTTTCCTGTTCTCTATTCATTTGTCTATTATTTTCTATTTATTTTTATGTACTTTAGCCCTGGAGTTAAAGTAGTGTTAGGTCACTGGAACAAGAAGTGGCCTGCTGCTGGCAGACAGTGTGACATGGCAGGACAGGCTGTTGTGGGCACAGGGACAGGGGGAGAAGTCACAAGATGCCCAGCCAGTATGTTCCACTGGCTCTTTTGTGCCTGATCTTTTAAGGTCTGTGGGAACTTAAATCCCTGTCTGATTCCTCTGTGTGTAATGCCTGTCAACATAGATTAGTGATGGCAATTAATCCCTGTAACTGCACTCTGGGTATCTTCCACTCCTGCCAGCCGAGTGTAGTAGGTTCTTATCCTCATCCTGCAGGACAGGAGACAGCCCTTATGCAGCAGGAGCCACAGGAGCAGAATCCCTGTGCAGCAGCAGCAGCAGCAGCCTGGACACAGCCTCAGCAGTGGGGTGGGGAAGGTAGCTGAGCATCTGTTCTCCTCAACCAACCCTTCTCCCTCCCCTCCCACGGGCAGGTTGGAGAAGCTACGGCACCAGCTGATGCCCATGTACAACTTTGATCCCACTGAGGAGCAGGATGAACTGGAGCAGGAGCTGTTGGAACATGGGCGAGATGCAGCATCTTCCCAGGCATCGCAGAGCAAGGTAGGAATGATCAGGGAATCTCTTACTGCAGCCACTGCTACCTGCACTGCTTTTCTTACACGCTCACAGGGGGCTTGTAAACTAAGAAACCCCTGGAAGACCTCAGGAGGACTTCCCCACCTCTGCCAGCCCTGGAGACTTACTTGGGCATTTTGGAGTGCTTAGGATGGACTGAGGGAGTCAGGCAACTGGGACAAAGTGCTGGTTCTACTCAAGTAGGAGAGAAAAAGGGCAACATGAGTAATTAAGGGTGAGTTTATACAGTTTACCTCTCAGGTAACCTCTCAGGGCACCACAAGGGAGCAGTAAGATGAATGCAGTTTTCTGGGAGACAGGGCTTCAGTGCCCACAAAGCACTCAGGCTCCTTTGCCCTTACCCTAAATAGCAAGTAATTTCCACCCAATTCCAAGATATCCCCACTGGGCCTAAGGATTCAAGTGTGGAACGGGGCCTAGCTGAGGGAAAGCCTGTAATCAAAAGAGGTAACTGTGCTAGAAGCCCTAAGAACCTTGGCCCATAGTTTTTTGCTAATGGTCCAAGTGGGTCTTTGACAAGAGACTATCTCCTTCCCAGGGTAGCAGGAGGTAGGAGAAATAGGAAAGAAGGGTTTCTCACCGTCATTTGAAGCCAGCTTCACAGTGTTTCTGCTTCCTTTGTCACCTCCACCACACAAAAAGTCTTTCTGGAAGAACCAGCAGGGAGGGTTGGAACAGGTACATCTCAGCCAGTGACACAGCCTCTCCTTCCTTGAATTCCTCACCAGTTGCTCTGTGTTGCCCGTGTCTTCCATTGCTTTTCCTGTCTAGGAGCAGGAATTCTCCCAAACAATTCTCAGTCTTTACACCCTCAGATAATCTGTAGCAAGCTTGCTGTGGACAGAAAGGGAAAGGTGAGATAATAAATACAACCGTAATTCTAAAATATTTACCAGCCTGGTAAAGAGCGCAAAGGGGATGTGTGTGTTGGAACATAAAAGATAGTCAACCTATGGAATAGGCTGGTTTGGGAAAGCAAGAAATGTGTTGTATAAAAGCAAAAGATTGTCCTTAGAGCAGCACATACTGGGAAAACATCAGATCCCTCTATTAGCCCACACAGAGGACTTCCCTGCAGGTACTAGAGGGGGGAAATTATAAGGCCAGAGGTAACCTTAGTACAGTAAAAGCAGATCCTTCCTATACAGGGACTGGCCAGCAGGACACCTCAGATCCCTCCTGAGCTTGCTAGCACAGATACCTCTGCTTGGAAAGTAAAAGAGTTTAAAGGCTTAACATAAAAAGAGAGGGAGAGTCTAAAACAACAGCCCGAGTTCAGGCAGTGGCATGTTTCCAGGCCTTCTTGATGGCTCAGGTCCTTTCATGCTGCCTTGTATATATAAATAGGGAGACCCAGTAATCCAATGATGTGGGGATTTTCAGCTGGCGTGGATGTGCCGTGTAACTCCCCAGCCTGCTGTATTTTCACATTGCAGCCTCGCTAATGCCTTGTTAGCCGGGCCCCCCTGCAGGGATGGATGCAGTGCCCGAGCCATGGCAGCTGTGCTGGCTCTCAGCTGTCCCTGCCCCCCTGCAGGTGCTGCTGGCAGGCCCGGGGGCCGTGCAGAGACCCAGCCGCCTCGTGTTCACCGACGTGGCCAACGCCATCAACGCCTGACCAGCACCCGCCGCACCCGCCACGGCAGGACGAGCCAGCAGAGCAGTGACTGCACGGCTGATCCACTGAGCCCCCCGGGCACCCCGCTGGTTTGTGTGAGGAGTGGGCAGGGCACTGCCAGCCCTCGGGGAAGCAAACCCTTTGCGAGGGCAGTGGTGATTTTTTGGTGCGTCTGCTCCCACTGAAAGGTCCCGAGCTCATTTTTGGGCTGGCGCTGGCTGATTCCACCTGCCAAGCTCTGTGCCTTGGAACAGCGCCTGCCTGGGGGAGATTACCCTGGCAGAGCACACCTGGGGGCTGTCTGGGTCAGGGAAGGAGGAGAGGGGCGCATTTCAGACACCTTCCCCCATGGGTCTGTGGCACCAGGCCCAAGGAAAGCCATGAACAAACCTCTCTGTGCAGTGGCCACAGCTCTGGCAGGTCCTGGGAGTGGGATGGGACTGGTGGCAAAGCCTCTTTGAGCAAGGAGAGCTGAGTGGTAACTGAGGCACACCATGGAAAACACACACCAGGGGTTTATCCCCGCTGCTGATAAACGAGCATCAGGGTGACGTTGAAGCGTGGGGAATTCACTAGCTGTAAAAAGTGAAACAGAGAACATGTGGCTGATTACGTCTTAACTGAGGAAGTGGCTGAATATCCCAAATCAGGGCTATTATACAAAGAGTGGAATTGGCACAGCCAGAGGCAGGGGCTGCCAGGTCTGGCTGAATGACTCTGTGCTGCTGAACTAGGAATAACAGTGCTTGGGCCACGAAGAGGAGCTAAGTTGGGGTTCCAGTACCACGGATCTCCTCCTGCTTTGGCTCAGGGAAGTTTCTACAGGGCAGAGTGTTATCCAAAAAAAAAAAAAAAGATTAAGCTTTGAAATATTTTCTTTTAAATAAAGAAAAACATGTGTTGGCTCAAACATTACAACAGCCCCATGTCTGCCCCCAGAGGTGACTAACAGCTGGTTTGTACTTCCTTACTGCCAGGACCTGCAGTCAGAGCCTTCTCTTCTTCCTGCTGAAGGGAACACAGAGCTTTGTGTTAGCCTCTGCTCGTGTCACCTGCTAGGAACAGGTAGGTGGGACTAGACAGGTAAGCCAGGAGGTTCCCTGTAGCCCTGAAGTGTCTCTGCCTGAGCATCCTTCAGGGCTGCAGGAGAAGAGAGTGCAAAGGGGCCACCCTGGCACATGGCAGTGCAGTGTGGGGTCTGTGCTCTGCTGCTGGGCACCAGCCCCAAGGGCTGCAGAGCACAGCAGTGCCCAGCAGCAGTGCCCAGCCCTGCCCTGAGCCCTCCTGATCTTTTTCTGGTACGTGCATTTGTCAATCAGATCATAATCCATCCACAGTCAGAAGGGAATCGGGGCAAGCCAAAATTTGAATGCAGATCCAAAGCTTTACACAAGGGGATGTTTCAGAATGGCAATTCAGGTATCATGTGCTTTGCTGCAAGTCTGGACCTGCCAGTTATTTTTTGTTTTCCCAAATAATTTTTTTCCCCTTCCCCACTGTGTTTTTTTCCATATTCATCAAATGCAGGCTCTTTCCTGGGCGTGTGCCACTGACCCCTGCAGGGCACAGCTCCTTACCAGCCCTCCCCCCTTCACTGACACAGCTTTGCAGGGATAAGCTGCTTCAACTTTTCCCTATCCTGCAGTCTGTGTAAAGCTAGGGAGTTCTGGGAGTACATTAGGACTGGGAATGTGGAAAACAGCCCACTCTTCACAGCCAGGAGACCTGCCAGGAGGCACTCCAGGGATGCTGTTGGAAGGAAGGTGCCTGGGTACAAATACTCAGTTTAATCCAGATTAACCCTTAGAATTTGGGCTCTATCTGTGGGTCTTGCCAGAGGTCATGACCAGCTGAGAAACAAACATCCCTCCACCCACACACACTTACCATCTCCAAGTGCTCACTGCGAGTGGACAGCCACAGAGACATCCCATTTCTCCCCTCAGGAGCTGGCAGTGGCTGCCTGCCACGTTCCCATGTTCTACAGCAGGACAGGGATGCAGGGGGCACTGGGAGTGCATGGCCATCCTAAACCACAGCGCTGCCCCCAGAAATCTTAGGATCAGAACTTAACTGGTTGTTTTCAACTCAATAAAAGGCAATTGTAAGCTGAGCTGTTTCCTCAATCCCACAGCCCCCTTAGTGCTCCTCCCCAGCTCTGTGTGCTGCCCAGGCAGCTGCCCAGCAGTGCATGTGCCAGCTCAGGTGCAAGGACTGCACCTTGTTCCCCGTCAGTACCGAGATAAATCCTGTACAACAAACACACCTGCAGAGGAATCCTCTCCAGCCTTTCTCCCTGTGATGGTAGGCTTTGTGTCCTGTGATGACTGCCCTTAGATTAAAGAAGTACAGATAATAAGGCTAAAAGAATATTACGGGTATTTGCTGGGCTTGTACTGGAGTATTCTTTTAGTTCCCTAGCGCCTCCTCACAACTCTTGGAAGCATCTGTATAATTTAGCAGAAGCATTACAATGTAATTTAATTCAAGTGTTTCTGTGTTTTAAGCATTGAAATATAATTAAATTATCTACATGAAAATCTGGTGTGATTGTCTTTTCTCCCCCCCCCCCCCATCATTTGCATTTTCCACAGGAAACTGCTGGAGTGGATCCTGGGTATCTGTTGGTAATTTGTGTGAATTCCCCTGCTCTTTCAAAAACTGAGCTAAGTGTGAAAAACGTGGAAGGGGAAGCTGTGCAGGGGTCAGGGTTTTGTTCCTACTGCAGAGGTTTGATGAATTCTTGGTGTGGGCCCTCTGGGCTGAGGCAGAGCAATCGACATCTGATGATAACTCATCTGCTGCTCAAATTGAGGTTTTTTTCCCCAACTCTCCTAGCCCCAGGCTTTCTGCAGAGTCCACTCAAAACCTTTTCCACTGATGTCTTATTTTGGGATCTAACATCTGCCTCTTTCTTTTTAATTTTCTGAAAAACAAAAACTCGGAAAAAACTTTGGTCAAACATTTGCTAAATACAAGACAAAATATAAAAGAATACAAAATCTGAACGTTGCCACAATAATTATTTTCTTATAACTAGCATCAACATTGAAAAGCATCTAACCAATCAAAAAGACTATTAAACATTTGTTGGATATAGAAAAGTAAGCAAGGAACAAAATGCAAAAGGAATACAAAAGTTTCAAAGAATACTAAAATAACTAGGGATTAATATTAAACATGTTCAGATAGTTTAAACAGACTACTTAAACTATTCTATTGTCTTCTATCAGAACTTATGAAACATTATTTAAGCTATCCTTCTAAAGATCTTTATTAGAACTGACTTATAAGCAAATGAAAACAAGTAACTTTGATAGTTTTAGGGTTTGTGTTCCTGACTTTTATACAGGGTTTGTTCTTGAAAACTTTTATTCAATCCAAAATATCTCTGCAAATGAAACTCCATTCAGCTCAGGGTTTTGTGTTTTATAGTTTCCATCTAAGGGTGCATAAAAAACGTGGTGTGTGTATTTTGCAAACAGAAGCAGAGCATGTTAATACATTCACACATTCAGACATTCATTCACATACAGCTTTCACATGGTGGCCAGCAAACATACTTTCACACAAACATACTGCTGAGTTTTCTTTTACTGCGTTTTCTGGCTATGAAATGAGAAATTAGCACTCCTGTTTCTCACCCTTAGATTAGCAATATCTAACTCTGTATTTCTTTGTTGCTTGAATTACTGCTCTGATGAGAATATAACCTGTAAAACAGAAACATATTTCTACATGTTCAATTTAAAATTCAAACCCATGTAAACTTGTTTTATAACCCCCCAAGCTCCAGTTCTGATCAAGAGCCACTCACCTTGCCTGGTGATGTGCACAAACGTGTGCTGAGGGTGTTGCACAAGGAGGAGGCAAAGAAGAAGTCCAAGGTGTTTCATATCTTTATTTCAAACAAACTTCAAGGCTAATTTTCAAGTTGCCAACGCTCTTTATGCCTTCACCAAAACCATTTATGAGAAACTTCCCAACTTTGCAAGATAACAAACCTCATTTATCTTCTGTGTTTTGACCAGCTGTAATGACCTCTTATTTTTGGCCAAGTGAGACTAAAACTGCCTGAGTTTAAAAACCACTTGAAATGCATTTGCTCAGAGGTAGGATTTGGCTACACAGAAAAGGTAACTAACAATATGAAAAATAAGAAGTGATTAACATTTCAAAAAACACAGTCCAAGTAATCCAGTGTAAGATCCTAGGTCTCTGAAGATGGCTGGAATTCTGCTCACCTTTCATAGGCACTGACTTCCATTCTAAGTCTGCATAAACATGGAAGCTGAAGCTGTGGATTGGGATTTCAGCTACACACAGTGTGGAATTCTGCTGCTTCTCCTCAAGCACTTGCATTTTTATGGAGACATGTTTTCTACTGTGGCTTTCCAACCAAGTATTAAGAGGTAGCAAAGACTAGATTTTTATCAAACATTTTAAGAGAGGTACTTCGTATGCATTCCCAGAGGAATACTGCTGACCTAAAGAAAATGGATTTACTATCTAGCCAAGGCAGTTTCCACCCCTATTCCACGCCACCAGCTGAGAAAGCTCTGACTGATGGCACAGGAAAAGCTGGAGTCTCTCACAGATGTAATCCCTAATCCATTTAGGAGAAGCTCAAGTTCCAGTCTCACACTGTGACAGGTGCTGCTCTCAGGTAACAGTGGTTAATTAAACAGGCAGAAACAGCCTTGCAAGCAGAGCTCTGAACCTGCCGATTCACCTGTACCAAAATCAGGGACAGAAGTTGGTAAAATATTTTGGTCTGCCACTGGAGTGGCCTTTGAATGGACATGAACAGCAGCTGAACTCGTGTGCACTGAAGAGCAGCAGCTCCCTCACCTATTTCAGGCAAACACTGGTTGCCTCTTCCTGTGTAAGCATCGACAGTTACAGATTTACATGTGTCATGTCCCACCTGGATTTCTCCACACAGCAGGAGTCAAACTCTTCCCAGTCTGGCAGCAGAGCTTACCCTACAGCACAGGATTTAGGTCAGTCCCTGTGATCTAACCCAGTTAGTCCTCCATTTCTTTGCTATTTGGTAGCAGAGGCACAAAAGTTCCCTGTGATGCAGTTTTGTGCTGTGACCACCAAGCTCACAGAATTAGGACCAGGACTCTGATCACTACTAAGCAGAATTAATGGGATCAGGGCTCTCATCACTACTAAACAGGGTGGACTGGACAAAATGACCTAGAAGAAAAAAAGGCACTTTTTTCCTCCCTCTTATTTCTTAATCAGCCCTTCCTCTTAATTCTGCATACATTTTCTTGTGTTAAATAAATACTTGCCAAGGGAACAGAACTCTGATGAAAGGATAATAAATGAGCTCAATACATACTGCCATTTCATGGGTTTCTGCTATGCACCACCATAAATTTAAAGCCAATTATGTTCTGTTTAAATATTTAACACTGTAAAGCTAGCCAATTTTACATCCTGTCAGAGATAATTGAAATACCCACTTTGTCCCTTTAATAGGCAGGCAGAACATCCAGGAGACGGAAAATACCACCGGGATTTCACTGTCTGCAACTGGATATTGGAAACACCCACAACTCCTAAGAATTTTAACAAGTTCAGCTCTGGCACCAAAAGCACAAATCTGCAAACAGTGTGAGACTGAGAGCAGCCGGCACCGATCTCAAACTGCCTGGCTACTGCTGCCTCCCAAACCCAAAGTATCCCAAGGTTTTATTTGCATGGCTGTGACACTAGGGGACCCCCCCCACGCTATGGACTGCGGACACAGCCAATTTAAATGGAATGCTGAGGCTCTGCAAGAAAGTAACTTTTGTCTAACTGGTTCTTTACAGACACTCCTTTGAAGGATGAAATCCAGTGGCTGTGACTAAGCTTGTAAGCACTGGGAGCTGCTCTCAAATTCAGGGGGGGACCACCAGGCCAAAAGCAAGTTATAAGAGATGGCCCTGAGCTGATCATGTTGAGATAAAATTTTCAGAATCAATCCCCAAGACATAAGGGTGTGAGTTTTCCTCTAAAGCATCTGAGTTACTGAGGGCTGGAGCAACAGCACTGGAAATGCCATGAAGGTTTTTTCTTTCTGATATAGTCAGGAAAGGACTCAAAGGCTGTCTGAGATGCAACCCCCTATGAGCAACTAAGCCAAACTCAACTCTTGGCACTGCTCCATCAGTCTGCTGTGTAAATAGATTTCCCTTCCTGTATCTGCATTGCTCATTACTTTTCTGTTGAACTACTGCAGTCTGTGGCAGGGTAAGGCACCAGGTTATCCAAGTATTTTTAAAGAAACATTAATATCCTCACAAAAGGTACACTACAAACTGTGCAAGGCATCTCTCCAACAAGGCATTTGTTCTTTCTTCCCCCAAGTCCCTGTTTGGGTGTTTGGGATTAGCAAACCAGCAGACAAACAGGAGAGAGAACTTGGCCAAAATTATCACAAAGGAAGAATCTGAAATACAACATTAAAAATCCTGTTTGCTTTGCAGTCCTCTGGCTTCAGTAAGACATGAACAGGTGGCACTACTGAGCTGTGGCAGGGGTGGCAGTCTGAGATCTCTTAAAACCAGCAGTTTTGCCGGGCTTGGAACCGCGTTTTCCAGTGATGCCTAAAGGGAAAGATCGTGGGAGGAGACAGGGTTAGAGCTCTGGGTCCAGGAGCCTTGCTAAACAAGCGCCCCTTACAGAGCCAGTGCAAGGTTAAAAGGTGACAAGAATCCACTCCCAAACAACCAAAGGGCTTCAAAGCAACATTCCCATTGCTCTTGTACCAGCTGCAGGCTAAACGGGGCTCCTGACACAAATGGCTTCCCTGGCAGCAGGGCTCAGCATGAGGCTACTGAGAGCCCAGAAGTGACAGTCGGTGTGAAATTGTCTGCTTCTACTGTGCAAACTCACGATCAACCTCTGCTGAGAGCAGCTATGTGTTTCCCTGGATCCTCACCAGACACAAAGTGCCAGAAGTGCCCCATCCAACGTCAAACACCAGGAAAGCAGAGGCACAGAAGGGCTGAAAATTGGCTGAGAACGGGGAATGTTTCTGGCTACACGGGCTTGCTGTGATCTGTGGGTACCCCCTGGCTTTCAGGAGAGCTGAGGAGACCACCGGGGCAGCAGAGGGAACAGAGAGACAGGGAAGTTTGCAGCTGCTCCATCTCAAGTGCACGATGAAGAACGCAGGGAAGCGGAGACAGACAAAAAGGAGCAACATCCTGGCTTTGTACTGGGTCTTGGAAATTTTGCCATAAAGCAAACTCTTTCCCTCTCACACCTGTAACTACTCTGTTAGCCAAGCACAGTTACTGGGAAAAACCACAACTGCTTTCTTTGGCCTAGGAGGCTGTGAAATGAGGGTCATCACTCCTCTGGCAGTGGTACTTGTGGAAAAGAAGACAAATGCTTCAGACTCAGACAAACAGAGAACATGAACACCGCAGTTGTGACTGGCAGCATCTGCAGGTAGGAACACAACAGAGCCTGATCCATTAACAAACTCCTGCCTGCTCCTGGATAACTTGGAGTCACCCATAACCAATGCCTTGGGAAAAACAGAACTAGATCCCCAGCCAACAGCCACGGCAAAAAATACAGCTAGCTTTAAAACAGCTCTCTGCCCCATGGCAGGCTTGCAAGTCTTGCATATTTCTAATTCAGCTCTTCTTATTTCTTGATTTTCCCCATACCAGCCTGAGAGGCAGGCAGGCAGGCAGGCAGGCAGTGTTTATTTCAGCAATTCACCTCAAAGCTGCAGACACAAAGCCCAGGGCAGATCTCCTTCCCACACCGAGTTGTTCAGTGTACAACCTGCAGGGTGGGCAAGCCCGTGGATGCCCCTCTGCCCTCCCTAGTGCAGCACCTCACAAACCCTCACCTGGAAGGAAAAAGCAAATCAACAAACCCCTCAATGACCAAAGCTCTGGCTGTGGCTATGGCAGAAGAGCATTAAGTGAACACAGACTCCTGCTAACAAGTCTCAGAGCTGCAGCCTCCTGCACAAGTAGCACTAAAACTCGCAGGCACATAGCATCTTAGGTTAAACCCAGATCCACAGAATGGGTTAATCCACAAACTACCTGTCTGGAAGCTGCTACAGCTGCATTGTGCTGGCAAACAAGCCCCAGGATCTATAGCTTCCACTAAGTCAGAACAGCAAGCTTCCTCTTTCAGCCAGCAGTTTTAAGCCAGGATTACCACTCCATCTCAAGCTCCTGAGCAAGTAATAACCATTAAGAAGTTTTCCAGAGGACTGCCAGGTTTCATATTCCACATGCTCATTCGCACTGATTTTCTAGTTGTTGTTTTTTTTTGTTGTTTTCCTCCAGAAGGGCACACCTTCCCCAGCAAGACTCCCTTCTCCATCCCCAGCAGGAGCTCACACAGGGCTTTAGGCTGCGCTATCATGCACCGCTCGGCCATCTCCCACTGACCGCAGCATCCGCCTATCCCGGCACACCTGCTGCTGCCTCACTGCAGCAGGGGGAAACAGATCCCTCCTGTCACTGGTCCTGGTCCCAGTGGAACCGAAAGGAAGAAGGAAGCACCTGCAGTGGCTGTGGTTTGGGGCGATGCTCAGACGGCCGGAGGTGAGCTCAGCACCCGCGAGCCTGCGGCTCCGCTGATGTCACCGCCCGGCTCCGTGGCAGGAAGTGATATGGGAGCAGGAAACTGAACTAACTGAGCAGATGAGGTTAACTCCCCTGGCATTCAATCATGTGGCATTTCCAGGGACTTTCTAAGAACGTGAGGTTGGGTTTGGCTGCCCGGTGTCTGTTGGCTCACTCTGCACGCCCAGCGCTAACGGCAGCGGGGCCACATGGCAAACCAAGGCTGCACCTTCCTCTCCTGGGCTGCTGGTCCCTTCCCCCTCCCACTCGAGGGACAACAGTCAATGAATGGCTTCCTACAAGGCTCACTGAAGGCAGGACTCAGCCACACACAAGTTTTCCAGGAATCTACCTCAGAAACAGCCCTGAACAGCTGGATTTGGAGTTGTACTTGCCCAGGGCTGCAGAGAGGCTGGGGCTCTGGGTGGTGCACTGGTACATTCCTACAGCAGAGAGAACAGTTATCTGGGATCTCAGAGAAGCTTAGATACCTTTAACTGACCAGTGCCATCGTTCTCTGTGCTGCTGATGCACCTCTGCTAATGCCAGCACTGCCAGAGAGCACTGCCTGGGAGGAGAAGCCGGGAAGGAGAGAGCAGGACCATCATGGAGACACCTGGAGCTAATCCAGAATGCTGGCATGGCCCAAAGGGACCAAGGGATCATCTACTCTCTTTTTGCCAAGTAAGGCAAGACGTTCCCAATAGACTGCTTTCACTTTGCACATAACACAGCCAGCCAATCTCACTGAGCCACACCTTTAACAGTGGCCAGAACCTCAGATACGAGACTTCTTGGAAAGATAAACACAGAGATTCTCCTCCCATCTCTCTTTTCTGCCTCCACTTCTGCTGCAGTAGTCACAACTGAATCAGATGGAAGGAATGTGCTACCCCTCCTGTTGCCATGTGCCTGGAAGCTTCCAAATCCTCCTGTTTGCAGGATTTACCAGAATGACTGCAGCCAGTGCCAGAGCTTTGGGGGTACGTGCATGGTTTGCACAGTTTAGTCTCGTGTAATTATTATCTCATTTCAAACCTTGGGTGGTTGGTGCCGAGTTCAAATTCGAGTCACCGCTTTCCTGAGGATCTCCTTCCTGAGACTCTCCTTCTTTGACCACTGCTTGAGGCTACAAAGAAAAAAACACCAAAAATAAACAATACCCCCCCCCAAACTAGGTAGGTAGAGAGAAAATGCAGATGGAAAGCAAAAGCCTTTGATCAGTGTTATTTAAATAGGACTGTGCAGCCCTGACAGCACATCCATTGGCCAATTCCTACATCCAAACATAAGCAAGAGCACATGCAGTGTCCACACACATTCCCAAGTGTCTCTGAATCACTGTCAGAATCCATAACAAACCACCATATTACCAGCCTTGGCCCAACACTTGGAAAAAATCTGCCCATTATGCAACTGTGGAGAAATTTTTTCATCCTCGAGAATACTTTCATTGTTTCAGGATATTCCCCTGTCCTGACCAACATTTTTTCTACCAATAATTAAAAACCAAATAGCTGTTCTTTTTCTTCTGCTTTGGTTTTGCCTCACCCCAAAAAACTCTTCAGCTGTTTAATTTTGAACCGAAACATCAGAATGCTTCACTGACCAAAGTGAGAATGATACGTTTTGAAACATTAAGTTTTAGATGTTCCTGCTTGTCTTTGAGATTTGTCAGTCCACAAATGACACCAGCAGAACTCACAGGGTAAGGTTTTAGTCTCTAAGTTCCAGCCATTTCTGTCTCTGATGCTTTTCCACAGAGCTTGAGGATTCTGACTTGAAGAGCTTGTTGGTTTAAGTGCTGGTAACACACCAGATTTCCTTACTCAGTGTATTTAAATAAGATAACACAAATGGGCTTAGGTTTGGGTTTGAGTCTAGCAATTTTTGTGATGCACACTAAATAATGGTTTGTGGCTGTTATGGGGTTTTTAATCACTCCTAATGACAGATAACATGCCATTAATTGCCCAGAGGACAATGTCCTTATTGATTAAAAGCTTTCATCTTGTTTTCACACCTGAAATATTTTATTTTCAGCCACTGATTCTTACTAATCCTTTGTTTGCTGCATTAAGAGCCTCCTGCTGGCAGGACTCAAAGTTTCTTCTTTTGAGACAAACTGACTTGCTAAGCAAACACTTCAGTCTTTCAAGACTCCTGGGAAGACAATCCCTCAATGTGAGAAAGGATGGAATCCTCTGGTCTAACATTCCAAGCCTGGGAAAGTCCTATGGAAGTTTAGTATGTCTTGAATTAAGCCCAGCAGCTCTCCTGGGCTCTCAGAATACTTCGGGAGCTGAATCTCAAGGGAGATCAGGAAGGCAGTCAGGCCTTCCCTAATGATTCCCAGGCCACCCAGGCTGAAAGAACGTCATGGCAGATAGAGAGCCTGAGGAGAGCAAACACAGGTGGAAGTTCCCCAGGAGACTGGAGAAGGGGAGAAGGACTGAACTCCACACTCACCCACTTGCGGGGCCTCCCTCTTGGCCTCTTCTCAGCAGGAGGTTCTGCCTTTATTGAAAACAAAGGGGGAAAGGTATTTTCAGTTCTCACATTTGCTGGGCACTGTGACTAAGGTGCTGAACTTGGCCAAGGTGACCTTTATTATAAAGGTCTCACAAGTAGCAGAGAAAGCAAAAGCTGAGGACAGTTGAGGAGGAAACACCTGCCAGACTGCGCTGGTTGTGATTATTTGGCAGTGGTGGAGGAGAAGTACTGGAAGGAAGCTGCTGAACAGGCAGTGGCAACACAGAAAGGCTGGGAGGTGAGTTAGGACTAAAACCACAATAACTGTTTTGTCCTACAGTAGCAATTAAAGCTGAGCTGAATGAGGGGCAACTTTCACTACATCTTTAAGCAAAGAGAAGCCTCCCTGCTTGTCCCTCCAGCAATGCCTCCAGAGGGACAGCCAGCTTCTCTCTCCCTATGAAGAACATAAGCCATTTACTCTTACAGTTTCCCCAGTTACAGTAGTCCTTTTCTTGCTTCCTTTTGGCCTTCCTCGTGGTTTTGTCTCTGACAGCCGTTCCATGGTGTCCTCCTGGGATAAAAGGAGAAAACCATTTTAGCAGGATGATCCCTGGAACAACTCATTCTGATGTGTCTTGGACCCCAATAATAGCACCCAGACCACTGAACAGCTGGTTGTCTCTGCCTTTCCACCCATGAGGTGCATTAGAAGATGGCCAGCAATACTCCTACCCCGTTGTCTTTGGGGCTGGGGAAATGAGTAAGTTCCAAGAACTCCAGACAAAGTTCCTGGAATGAGGCCTTGTCTGTTCTGTCTTACTGGTGGTGTGGAAACAGAGGGTGACCTGAAAGTCTCCAGAACAAAGAAGCAGAGCCCAGTCTCACAACAGAGAGCTGGTCAGCTCCCCTCACAAGTTCCCTGGCCCGAACTGTCCCAGCCTGCCACGCCTGAGGCACCGCAGGGGCAGTGACTGAGATCCCCCGGGGTGCACGTCCTGCTGCTGTCCTGAGCAGCAATAACGTTTACCACAGAACTCTTTGCTTCCCTTGTTCTTTGTTAGTGAGCTGCTTCCCAGGGCTGCCTGCAAATCCCACCAGGCTAATGCCAGAGCAGCCTCAGGCAGCCTCTTGGGATGATGTGCCCTCACCTGTGGCTGCTTCCTTGGTCTTCCCCTCTTTTTCTTCTGGCCCTCGGTCGGTATAGATGAGACAGGGTTGTCTGGCCTCTCGTTGCTCATCTTGGCACTTCTCACAGTCTGCAGATTAAAATCCAACAGGTTTCTTTCCCAGCCCATACAAAAATAATCTTGTGTCCTTTTTTCCCCTATCTTGTTACAGATTCTCCTCTACCTGCAAGGCTGAAGCGGTGAGAGAGAACCAGGCATGACAGCTTGCTGTTGTTTTTATCAGCTGGAAGAGTCTGGGACCCAGCAGACTGTTAGAAGCATAACTGTGCTTTATAAACTTCTGGAATCCCTCTCTCACCTGGCATATTCTTCAGCTTTCTGAGGCTTTTGGCCACAGGAGCTCCAGGCACAGAACATGCTACTTACTACCTGTATCTACCTTTCCCCTCCTTGGCCAGTTTCATCTGAACCAACAAAATCAGTGTCTGCAGCTCTCTGAACTCCACTCTTTGGAGGCTTCCTCTGCCTGAAGAGGGAAGTGGGAGATAAAGTGGTGGTGGCGAGCAATAAACGCACTATTCAAGGGCAAAGCTTCATTGAGAGCTCCCATATCATCACATGGCAAAACTAACCCTGAAACCAAAATCTCCAGCAAAGAGAGAGCCTTACATGAGGGTGCTTGAGAGAACACATATCAGGGTACACACTCTGCAAAGTCAGGCTCTGGAGCTGCCCCTCAAGAGTTGGTTCCTAATCACTGACTGAACAGGCACTGGCTGGAGAGATGCCCGGCCCCATTCAGAGCACTCAGCCTCTGGCCCTCCATGAGGCTCAGTGTTTCCTTTGTAACACAAGTCCCCCAGATTGGACAAAGGTAGCTGAATGCTCATTTATCAGTTGTTCTTACCACAAAATAAGTAGCTGAGAATAGTACAGTTGAGAAAATAGCTCCATTTAATGCTTAGGAAAGCAGGAGCGTATAAATGAACCCTGCACTTCTACCTTCTCTGCAAAGCCATCACCCTCCCCTTCTCACCTAGACACTGCAGCTATAACCTGCCTTACCTACAGAAGCTCTTCTACCTCCACCTGAGGAATGTTTTTTTACAGCTCTTTGCTTTACCTGCTTTATTTCTCCTTTTCCACCTGCTAAATGAAAGGTAACAACAGCGAAGCTCAAAGAGCTCTTTGTCCCCTCGGCCTGAGCGCTGCTGTGTCCCCAGGTCCCTGTGGCAGCTCTACCCGAGGCAGTAAAGGCAGTACTGCAAGCAAGGGCACAGCTGCACCACGTACAAGTGTGACTTTTTTCTTCAAAATACTGCTAGAGGGCCAGCTGGGTTCAGTTCCAGTTCATGCATGAGCAGCCCTGCCGGGTGAACTCCCTGGATGCCCCTTTGTGCCCACTGCTGGGCCCCAGCTCACAGGTGCCGCTGCACACTCGGCTTTTCTATCAAACCCTCTGATCAGAGAGCGATGGAAAAACCACAGCGCAGGTCTCTGAGTTCAGGCTGCATCTGGAGCGGAGACAGTTAGGGAAAAAAAGTTTCTTTGTACTTGCAAGCCACTCACAGTTGCCACCACATCCCTGAGAGATAAGCATGAAACACTTGCAGTCTCTTTTAGAGAAGAGCTGTGCTTTTACAGACTGGAACCAGAGCTTTGTAGTTCGATCAGATGTTCAGGTTGCAAAGATGAGAGTGCCTTAATTGAAGATGACAACAAATGCACTGCCCTCTGGCCAGCCACTGTTCCCTGTGCCTGCCTTTACTGGTCAGAACTGGGGCTCAGACAGGCTGGTGCTGGCATTTGGGGCCCGCTGAGGCAGCAGAGAGGCAGTGAAGTGCACTGGACTGCCCCACAGAAGCCTCAGCCTCTCTCCCAAAGGCAGGTCTAAGCCAGCCCCTCCTCATGCTGCACACATCTGCTGCTGGATCAGCCCAGAGTCAGAAGTGGCCTGAAACCTCTGGAGCCTGAGCCTTCCCTCAGCCACCCATGGAAGGGGAACAGACACAGCCATGAGAACAGACAAGTGTGAAAGTGCTGTCCAAGCCAGGTCCCTGGGAAGAGATTACAGCTGCTTATCTGGGGCAGGCTGTCCTGACAGGAGGGTGGAGTTAAGCATTTGCATTCTGGTTTTTGGTCTCAGATTGCACTTTTTGCTTGGTCACCACAGGCTGGACACGCAGAATCTGACAATGCCACTGACAGATGCTGCAGGAGAACTCTCAACCTTCACTTCCTATTCCAGCATAATGGTCGCAGTCACGACAGACACTGAAGCCACTGCTCTTATTGGCACAACCTCTCTCACAAGTTCACTGCTACTGAAACCTGCATTGAACCCAAATTTGGCATGTCAGTATTGAAGTGGGAGCAACCACAGTGTAGAGAATTCATTTTCCCCCCAGTGCAAAGTCAGTTTTTGCCCAGTGACTGTTTGCTAAGCCTTGGTAGGCTGATGCACTCTACAATGTCTGTCATGTATCTGGCAAGCTTTCTGCAGGCAGGGCTGCAGGCAAATGCAGAGACTGCCAGAAGACAGAAGTCTTTGTACATCTCTTTTACCTTCTCATCACCCACCAAAGGCACACACTTCTTGAAGCCTCACGTGAAAAGAAAAACACACAAGCAAAGCTATACAAGCACCAGCCCTCAGGGCCTTTGTGAGCTTCACATGACTCAATGCAAGACCCAGGCAAAGCAAAAGCACCCACTGAAATTCAGCTTCACATTTCTCAACAACAGCTTTCATGTATACACAGAAACCCCCAAACCCATAATGACTCCCACTGTGTACCAAAAACCACATATACCTTGCAGGGTCACTGCACTCCCTGCGGGGATTGGAGCCAGCAGGGCTGAATCTCAGGCCCACAGACTGTCCACAAGGGCATGAGATCTCAAAAGCCTGTCTATCTGAGGGCCTGAAATCACCACTATGTCAGCCACATACACAGCTCTGCAAATGGGGCAGGTGTGGGATTGCACATTTGTGGCAGTATTGAGGCCTCTGTGTTGCAGAGACATCACCAAAAAGAAAGCACCTCATGTCCCAGGTACACTCCCAGGCACCTGGCAGAGGACAGGGGATGCTCACAGTGACAGTGCTTTACATCTCGACTGAGGTGGTACAAAGCCAGTTGTCCTACCATAACAAGTTCTCAGGAGAGCAAGGCTTCCCCTGGGGGGCTGTGGAGTTGTAGCCTAATACAGAGCACTGAACAGTGCTCTTGAGGGACTTTTCCCTTCCCAGAGGTTACAGAGCAAGCTTTGGGGATGAGCCTGCTGACTCGGGCAGGTATATTATACAGCAGTACCCCTCCCTCTGTTTCCTCAGGGAGGCTGAATTTTAGGCTCTGTCTTCGGGAGAAACACAGTGTGGATGCTCGAGGCATCCTACTAAAACCCCCAAACCATGTGCATGATTCACAGCAACACTGCCAGAAAGCAGCTCTCTGGCTGCAGTACTCACATACAAAATAAAGGCTCACAAAGCCTTTTTCAAGGGATAATAGGAGTGTGATTATAGGAGACCCTTCATTACAGCCTTAACTCTGTCGCTGTCTCTATAATAACAGGAAAAGCTATCTACCAAGCACAACTCCCACTTAGCAGCGCAGCACCACTGTGCTGCTGTCAACGTGTGAGAAAGCAAACCCAGGGTAAATTCACTGACGTGAACATGGTCACTCTTCACTCCCTCTGGTAAAAGAGGGAGGGAAAAATCTGGCCCGAGCCCCGCATCAGGCAGAGGAGGATAAAAGACGTGATTAGGTAAGGCATCGAAAGAGGAGGACGAAGGAGGCCAGGCAGAGAGAAACTCCTCATTCCAATAACTGCAGCAATAACGAGCTGCACTCGCATTATGAGAAATTACTTTCACCTTCCGAGAAATCAAATGCTCAGATCTTTTCAGATCTCGCCGCAGATCAAGAAATAACACAGCTTGTAGCGGTTCCCCGTGGACTGTTCCACCTGAACAGCAGGATAGCCAGGACCTGGAACAGCTCCCTTGGGAAAGAGCAGCAGCAGCAACACTCTGGCAAATGTGCCTCTTCTGCCAGATTTTTCTGCAAAATGAGGAACTTACGGGCTATGAAATCAAGCTTGTGGCAACAGCAGATAACTGCCATAGTTTCATAAATCACTTCTCAAAACCAGAACTAACATCTCCGGTGATTTCCCTGACTACTTTGAGTGGCTAAGTCTAAGGCTTCTTTGATCTCATGCTTAAAAGTCTCCTAGTTCATTGCCTGTTGGGGTTTTTCTTCATAATGAGCAATTTATTGTCACTTGTTCTTGCATCACACCAGAGCCCTACAGCAGCAATGTTCCTCTCTTCTCCATTTTTCAACCCACTCTACCAGATAAACAGGTTAAGGTGACCACCCTCACACCTTGCCTGTCTGAACAAGCCAGCCTGTTTGTTTCTTGGATGTGATCATATCTCCTGATCATTTTGATTGTTATTTACACTCTTTCCAATGTGAGCTCAACAGTTCTAAGGATCCTGACTCTCAAAACTCTTTTCAGTGAGGACAGCTTGTCTAACTTAACCTCTTGCACACCTGAGAAACATGGGCTAAGCAGCAGCTCAATGGGGAAAATTCAGTTCTTGTAGAACATTAATAGCACCAGCCCCAAAAGTGATTCAACCAGCAAGCTATTCCAGCACCTCCAGCATATCCTGGCTGATAAAATACTCAGGTCAGAAGACAAACTATTTAAGCTTAAAGAGCACAAAAAACACAGGGATTGTATGGGTGCCCCTGCTTCACATCACTGCGAGTGACCTGCTCAAGGGCTTTGCACTTGCCTGTAGAATGAGTCAGGCCACGTGTGCAGTGCCAGCTGCACTGAGGTCCTGTTCATGTCTGCATATGCAGGACTTTCCCTGAAGGTTGCCTCAGTTTTCAAGAGCTCAACCTCAATCCTACCTCAGTGTCATCAGCTTCCAAGCCCTGCCAAAGCCCCAGGTTCATATGCTCAGAGCCAGCAAAGCAAGGAGGGAGTTCACCATCCCAGGAAGTGGTGGAAAAGCACTGCTGGATACCAAGACTAGTGAGGAAGAGAGACCTGGAATCTTTTCCTGACTCTGGACTTGTGCAAGTCATACAATCTTTCTACAC